GCTGAAGACTTGTGCTGTCATACCTTCGGCGACGGCAGTGGAATTTAAAATATTTCCAGGGATTTGGGTTCTACCGCCAGAAAGATGTAAATTTCATGAGATAAGAAAATTTTACCCACCATTACAGATGAATATTTTTATCACGGTGTCGTAAATTTCGGGCAATACTGAAATTGATATTAATCTCTGCATTCAAGAAAAGACAATGTGACAATTTAACACATAACGTGTAAGCCACACGCTCCCTTCCGGATTAAGAGGCATTCGTTTGTCGATGGTTTTACTAGGGACGAAAAAAAATCTCTGATCTCATTGCAATCGATTCCGTGTTGCAATACGAGGATCACATCGGATTTATTCCGAACGGTTTCGATAATGAGGAGCACTGTGTTTAGATTTCGTTCCTAAATATTGTGTCTGAGGATGACGCTTGGCACGCGTCAAGGTTTTATTTCGTGTTGATACCCATATGATATGAGGATGAGGATTGCATTAATGTGCTAGCTTATTTTGCTCTGTCATTTGTTATTTTCGAAGATTTAAATTCAAATGAGAAATTTTACATTAAAAAAATTCCTGCAATCCAAAGTACGCATTTCATAATTTCTTCAATACTGCAAGAAGACTTCTTCTGCCTGGAAAAAAATGTCACCCCTACTTTCTTCTGTTGTCATTTTGAAGCAGTCCTCGTTATGGGAGGATACTGTAATATTTTTCGCACTGCATGAAAATAGTAAGGGTGTGAGCAGTGAACGAAAGCCTTTTATTTATTTTTAATATGATAATCACGTGACTGTGACATATGTAAGCATTTAGTTTAACACAATATTATTCCACTATGCTTGCTTTCCGGGAATGTCGAATAAAAAGTCCTTACAAAACGAACATCGAACGGTCGGTATTGGCAACAGTAGCAGACGATGGCAAGGGCGTCGACAGCATAATGCAAGATCTGTGATTAATGCCACGTGCAGCATAATAATTTTCTAATCATAAATTTATGTTATCTTTTGTACTGGCAGATTTTTGTTTACTCAGTGATAGTGTAATGATGCTGTTGAAAGGGGGTGTGTATGGTGGACGTCAAAATACTGCCGATGGCCATAGTTACAGCTCTGGTGGTGCGAAAGTTAAATATTGGTAATAGATGGTATTATAAGGGCGAGAACAGAAATGAAAGGCGTTTTGTTATTATGAGATAAGGATTGGGTATTCCAAATGATGCTGAATGATGTCACGCGTCGGTTTTTGATAGGGCCTTTAATGTGTATTAATTGTACGTGCGTTCACGATGAATACACAGCAAAAGATTTGATTTTATCATTTTGAGCTGCAATAAATAGTTTGACATGTTTTTCGTGTCGTAAAACATTGTGAACCTCGTTGTCTTATATTAATGATTTTAAATTTTTACTCAAGATTCAAATGTTTGCCTTTTTCTACAACAGCAGATTGACTGATTTAGTGATCGCTATATACTGTTCCCTAGTACTTTAGAATATGGTGCTGCTGTTTGTAACCATTCTGATTACCACTGATCCGTGTGCTTTAATCGATCTACAGAGGCTGTTCTACAGAATTTAATCGGTGTTAGACTTTCATCTGCCTCGTGAGTCGGTGCGACGAGAGGTTCCCGGCTATATATTCATGGAGAACTAGGTTTTAGCAAATTTCTGAAAACTGTCTTCCTACCCAAGTAACCATAGGCACGTTATTTCGCCTCTTTGGCTATATACGGGCCTCATCAGAACTTACAAATACTAGTATATCCGTTGTTCAGCTATATATAGCCAAAAAGGCGAAATAACGTGCCTATGGTAACTTGGGTAGTTTGTGGACAGTCGCTCTGTAGGTACTCCTACAAAAGACTATACAGAGTATGGCAATAAGTAAGACTATATTTCCGGAAAATAAACTGACGTTTTTCAAACATAAAATCTATGGTTTTCTCATTGCAAACACAAATATCCAGTGTAAGAACCACTATTTTTTTTTCTTGAATTATTTTCTTTCCAAGAAAATCCTACTAGAATTAAATAAACGGTGAAAACGAAAACTCGTTTAAAAACTGGACATTTTTTACCAAACCATGACACATCCATCTTCCAAGAAGTTAAAAAAATAAGAAAATTTAATTTCAATGGCAGCATTCTTAACGTCAATATAAGGTTTGTACTGTCTGAAAGAGTTTTTCAAGAACATTCAAAATATCTGGATCACATACCACATTTTCTTCAAGTTTGTACTTGCTTCTGTGTGCATTGATTATTTTCTCGAGCATATTTAGGAGCCATGCTAGGCCATCGATTTTAATCGGGATAAACCTAGACAACAAAACAGAAAAGGATGCTCTCTTTAAATTATTTGTTTTTAGGCTCTTTATTTGTTCCAAATTCAAATTAAAAACATTTAATTTTTTAAGCTAGGTGCTCCAGCTACTACAGTAACTATAATTTGAAAAAGCAGTGTAAATTTCTGTTCTATATGATGCACATAAATGCACACATACGTTTTCATTATATATCATTTAAAGTTCTGACACATTTCATACATTGTAGCAAATATTGTACACAACAGCCCATCTTTGTAAAAAAACATTGTTTGCAAGTTGCTCGGTTGCGTGAAATGAAATACAAATCTACGTGATTTAATGTTTACATTAAAAATAAAATCAGAATTTTTATCTGTGTAACCAGCCTTAATTGCTATGAAATATGGTTAGGTTTTCTTTATTAAGGAGATTTTCAGCCTTGGGCTGGTTCGCCTCCGGTAACTATGAAATATATCTAAGTGTGTTTACATTGTTCCTGCTTTGGCAATTCTGTATTTTAAAATATGCCTTTATTGTTTTCAACTTTAAAAAAAACCAGGTTATAAATTCTAGATCGACCCTAGATTTTTTTTTATCATAGAGATTTTTAGCCATATGGCTAGTTTATCTCTTGATCCACCCTAGAATATTATATTTTCAAAACATTATTTTGAACACAAAATGTGGGATCAGGCTCATCACGTAAAAAGTAATACAAAAAATATATCATGTCTTGCTATGATTTTTTTGAGTTAAGAATTCACCAGTTGGTGGATTATGTAATCATAGATTCAAGCCCATATATCAATATGTTGAATGCCCATACTACTCTCCTAGGCACGGCTTCCGTTGACATAGTAAGATCAATTTACACAGTACGAACGAAACGTGTAATTTTCTGTCTGATTGGATGTAACAAAAAGACCGCATGATAAATAATTTATTTTTACATGAGATTTTAAAATTACATGTTGATATTTGTCACCATTAAATTTACATGTCTTTTCTGTAAAATTAAATCTCCATGTAATGTTATGCTGATTATGGTGCTTAAAGGTAAGAAATAAAATTATTTTGAGATTCTGCTTTTTCGAATTATTTGGAATTAATACAAGGTATAGGGCACTTTTCATTGTTAAAATTTATTCACTAACTTTGTTTCCAATAAGATTCACAACAACACTTCTGTGAAAAACGGTGTCCTGTTTATCACGTTAATAACATGTAAAATTTTAATGATCTTAATGAATGTGCTGTATTAAATTACATGGTGTTTCATTTAAATTTAAACCATCAAGGTTTTTTTTTCCTTGATTTGTTTTCCGTCGATCTTGTTTTCCGTGCTGAGCACCAATACTACCGACGCCAGGGAGGCAGCTCCCACACCTGGACCCTACCTATCGACCCATCAACTAATGAACCGGGGACCAACGGTTTTACTTCCCTGATCAGAGATCAGAGATGTTATGCCTCAGAACATCCTGGTGGCGCCGACTGAGATTGAACCCAGGCCTGCTAGGATGAGAGGCAATCAGGCTTACCACTACACCACTGGCACCGCTAAGCCATTAAGGTAAAACTGTATAAAAATAGATCCAATACTAAATTGGATGTAATGTAATTATTATTTGCGTCTTATATGATTGAAAATTATCTGCGATGTTGCATTACGTTAGCATTTATTCAATTGCATTTCAAATCGAATCACTGTTAATTTTCATAATTTTTAACTGTGTATGGGAATTTCCTGAAAGATAGGAAACCTCAAAATCTTTTCTTTATATCCTTAGAGAAGGATAAGTACGGAAAATGGATGTGATGTCGGCCTAAATGCCCCTAATTTCGACGCATATATAAATTCAGCAATCGACTTAATTTTCAATAGCGACCAAAAATATCCATTAGTACCGTCCCAATGACGCGTTCACCTAGATAAAATTGAAAAATAGCAGATTTTTAGCGATGGTGGCGCCGACTGAGATTGAACCCAGGCCTGCTAGGATGAGAGGCAATCACGCTTACCACTACACCACTGGCACCGCTAAGCCATTAAGGTAAAACTGTATAAAAATAGATCCAATACTAAATTGGATGTAATGTAATTATTATTTGCGTCTTATATGATTGAAAATTATCTGCGATGTTGCATTACGTTAGCATTTATTCAATTGCATTTCAAATCGAATCACTGTTAATTTTCATAATTTTTAACTGTGTATGGGAATTTCCTGAAAGATAGGAAACCTCAAAATCTTTTCTTTATATCCTTAGAGAAGGATAAGTACGGAAAATGGATGTGATGTCGGCCTAAATGCCCCTAATTTCGACCCATATATAAATTCAGCAATCGACTTAATTTTCAATAGCGACCAAAAATATCCATTAGTACCGTCCCAATGACGCGTTCACCTAGATAAAATTGAAAAATAGCAGATTTTTAGCGATGGGCCCAATCTTAGATCCATAGGCCAACATTAGAGCCATTTCCCCTATTAAGTTTCAGTTGTGGTACACAGCAAAAGATTTCATGATGATTTTTGTCCTGGAAAAGATGCCATGATGGACATCCGTAATACGCATGCGGTCAAATATTTAATAAATTGTATCATATCATCCCTGTAACATTATTGGCTATCTGAGTTGCTCTACCCTCGATGAAATGGAATCTTCTTTTTACGTCACAAAAACGATGGGATGCGGATGGAAGCAAACAGGGAATGATCCGCTGTTAGCTCCCCTTGCTATTCGCTCGGTCGCAACCGCATGTATCAAAGCCAGTTACCTTTTCTCGCCCTTATTTCCACACCACCCACAATCGTCATCATTTGCGAGAGTTGTGTTTGAAGTCGATAGACAGCCAGCCAACCACCCATTCACCCGCAACCCAGCGACAACCACTTGCAATCTGCGGATGAACGGATGGAGAAACCGTCATAAGCGCCTCGACCGGGTGCTCACACAAGGACACGGTTTGTACCAAGCGGATGGAATCGTTCGATTGAAAGCAGCCCGGCACTGCCACCGCAACGAAACGCAATCGCTCTTGATGATGGTATTTTATGCTCAACCGTTTTTCGCTCCTCGTCACAATGCGCCCCAAGCTGCTACTGAACGAACATTTTACTCTGCTATTGCTGCGAGTGAGTGAGCAAGGGTGTATGATTTGAATAAATTATTAAGCTAAATTTATTTTATCTGTGGGTGGAAAATAAAATGGTTGTATATTTTATTGATTTTTTTTTCCTGTACTGCACGGAGCTGCCGTTGATGAAGATTCCTTTTCATATATTGATATTAATATATAGGGAATAAATCGTTGCCGTTCTATCAGGTCTTCTGGTTGTATTCGTATATCCTTTCATATGTGTATATATGAGTTTAAGACCCATTCCAAATCATCTGAAGAGGGAGTTATTCTACCTTTTACCACCGTGCTTATTGAGGACAGCATTTGGTGGGGGTACCACGATAACAAAATAGATGAATGTTTATAGCATACTGGTGGATGGTACTCGACGAATGAAATCGGAACGTGGCTCCCATTCCCAGGAATGGGGATGACACACATTGGAGTAAGGGTAATTCTATCTTATCTGTGTGGTCGTACTTTTGTAGTGGGAGACGAGGAACGAGTGCCATCGTGTACACCAGGATAATGCCAGACACAGCGGCTTATTCTTGAAATGCTATGATGAGTATTTATGTAAGGTACCTCTTTCGTTTCAGCGTATGGTTCGTGCTGTGTTACGATTATATTCCTACTCCAATGTTATATTGGATTTATCATACACCCGGACAGCATTTCTGTTCACAATTCTTCTGTGAATGTATACATATTTATCTGAATAATTTAGTATGAGCAACTTTCCATAATAAAATGCCTGCGTTTCTGCTTCGAAGTGAAATTGAGAGCATTAGCGCAGTCATCCAATGAAATCATGTTTATTATATGACGTCCTCTCTTAACTATTGACTATTAAAGACCGTAAGTATTGTAGACCATTAAAGTAACAAGGGTTAGTTTATTCATGGCTGATAGTAGTCGACGTCGACGTCGTGGTTTAATATGAAATAAGTGTGTTCCATATGTTAGATATGTATTTTTTCACGATGTTTTAGTTTTTGTATTTTTTTTTTTTTACATAATCAAAATATGTAAGCATGCACCATTCTTTACTTAACTCCGGTAATTAAAAACGATTTCTGATATTCCCATATTGTTGGAAAGCATATAAGTTTCCCTTTCCTATAGTTTAATTGGTCATGTCACGCACACTACCAAAAAGGCATGTAAATTTCCGTGCCCTGAGACCGACACATGCAAGCGGCCCAAATGACATAAGAATCATTTGAAAGAAGCGAGAAAATAAATTCAATCAATTGTACTTATTATTGGTAAGCTTTTTATGACATTTCACCTATAATAGTCATTTAGTGTGATGATTGATATAATTTAGAAATAAATTGTGTAGTACGTACGCAGTGAATGTTGTGAGTGTAACATACATGATTGCTGGTCATTAAAATAGGTGTAGTCAACATAAATGCAAAATTTTTGGTTGTTTTCATTAAACTTCATTTTATTTGACTTTAAAGTTAAGCATTTGATAGTGTAATAAAAATTAAGTAATTGCACGAGAAAACTCAAAGATAAAACATTAAATGACACACTCATTAGAATCATAAAGAAAATATGCCTGGTTAGTGAAATAAGTGTGTTGCATAAAAATATAGTATAGAAAGCTTGAAAATAACTGTACAAGTTTTATCAGACTAATGACGCTTAGTAACCGCTGTGCCCTCCATTGTTAAGTAGAACCTTGTTCATATTTCTTGGCATTGACTCAACCAAGCACTGAAAAGTTTCCTTTGGTATGATTGAACTGTGGTCCATAGTTGATCCTTATTTGAAAATGCTTGACCAGATAACTTTCTTTTAAGCTCGTCCCATAAATTTTTGCTGGGTTTGATGTCAAGAGATTGGCTAGGCCATAAAATAACCGACACTTTGTTTGCACGAAACCATTCCTTTACAAACTTAGAAGTGTGTTTCAGATCGTTGTCTTGCTGAAAATGCCATATAAGAGGCATGTTCTCTTCTGCATAACCTCCTCCATGATTTCTTTGTATTCAAATCTGGTCATGATAGATTAATACGGAAAATGGGACCTACTCCATACCAAGAAAAACAGCCCCAAACCATGATGCTACCACCTCCATGCTTTACGGTCTTTACCGTGTACCGCGGATTGAACTCTTTAACGGATGGTCTACGTGAGAATATAGTTTTAATGACGGTATTGATTTCATTTGATATGTGGAAGTATTTGCTCAGGATTCTTGATTAGGTAAGTGATTTAACAGGTTATAATATTCTTTTTATTATTATTAAAAAAACGATTAAAAAAACGAAAGATTAACATATCAAACAAAACAATTAGATGGTCGGGGTGTAAAAGCAGGTAAGTACGGAAAATACTTAATTCAGATATCCCAAAACTCATCCGAGAGGGATCCCAAATCGATATCGATTCTGTGTGGTTTCACCAGTTTTGAAGAATAGCCGCTCAGACGGAACACTAGTTACCATCCTTGATAAATAGTTTCGAGCAATGGGGTTTACATGGGGAGCACTCCGAAGGGTATAAATAGCGGGACCTTTCAATTAGAATCGATTCCTTACGCAAGAATGACAACTGTATCAAAACCGAATACTTCATCATTTCTCAATAGTGATGGAGTAATACGACATGAACTAAACTAAGGACACGGGATATACTACAATATATCAAATTACTGGTCGCAGTGGTGTTAGGTGTTTACGTGACGGATGGTCTACGTGAGAATATAGTTTTAATGACGGTATTGATTTCATTTGATATGTGGAAGTATTTGCTCAGGATTCTTGATTAGGTAAGTGATTTAACAGGTTATAATATTCTTTTTATTATTATTAAATAAACGATTAAAAAAACGAAAGATTAACATATCAAACAAAACAATTAGATGAAATAAATTGTGTAGTACGTACGCAGTGAATGTTGTGAGTGTAACATACATGATTGCTGGTCATTAAAATAGGTGTAGTCAACATAAATGCAAAATTTTTGGTTGTTTTCATTAAACTTCATTTTATTTGACTTTAAAGTTAAGCATTTGATAGTGTAATAAAAATTAAGTAATTGCACGAGAAAACTCAAAGATAAAACATTAAATGACACACTCATTAGAATCATAAAGAAAATATGCCTGGTTAGTGAAATAAGTGTGTTGCATAAAAATATAGTATAGAAAGCTTGAAAATAACTGTACAAGTTTTATCAGACTAATGACGCTTAGTAACCGCTGTGCCCTCCATTGTTAAGTAGAACCTTGTTCATATTTCTTGGCATTGACTCAACCAAGCACTGAAAAGTTTCCTTTGGTATGATTGAACTGTGGTCCATAGTTGATCCTTATTTGAAAATGCTTGACCAGATAACTTTCTTTTAAGCTCGTCCCATACATTTTTGCTGGGTTTGATGTCAAGAGATTGGCTAGGCCATAAAATAACCGACACTTTGTTTGCACGAAACCATTCCTTTACAAACTTAGAAGTGTGTTTCAGATCGTTGTCTTGCTGAAAATGCCATATAAGAGGCATGTTCTCTTCTGCATAACCTCCTCCATGATTTCTTTGTATTCAAATCTGGTCATGATAGATTAATACGGAAAATGGGACCTACTCCATACCAAGAAAAACAGCCCCAAACCATGATGCTACCACCTTCATGCTTTACGGTCTTTACGGTGTACCGCGGATTGAACTCTTTAACGGATGGTCTACGTGAGAATATAGTTTTAATGACGGTATTGATTTCATTTGATATGTGGAAGTATTTGCTCAGGATTCTTGATTAGGTAAGTGATTTAACGGGTTATAATATTCTTTTTATTATTATTAAATAAACGATTAAAAAAACGAAAGATTAACAAATGAAACAAAACGATTAGATGGTCCGGATGGTACGGAAAATACTTAATTCAGATATCCCAAAACTCATCCGAGAGGGATCCCAAATCGATATCGATTCTGTGTGGTTTCACCAGTTTTGAAGAATAGCCGCTCAGACGGAACACTAGTTACCATCCTTGATAAATAGTTTCGAGCAATGGGGTTTACATGGGGAGCACTCCGAAGGGTATAAATAGCGGGACCTTTCAATTAGAATCGATTCCTTACGATGAAGGCAAGAATGACAACTGTATCAAAACCGAATACTTCATCATTTCTCAATAGTGATGGAGTAATACGACATGAACTAAACTAAGGACACGGGATATACTACAATATATCAAATTACTGGTCGCAGTGGTGTAAGGTTCCGAACAGAGGAAAAAATGGTAGCCGGAAGTTTTTAAACTAATTGCGTAATTTTTATATTAGTTTATTTTGCGAACAAAGTTTGCTTCCCCAACTGCATTGCGTCTAAAAAATCATATGCATTCTGGAAAACTTACTTGACGCTGCAGTTTATTGCAGGAACTGTCATTACATTTGTTGCATAAAATATAATCAGATGATGTAAATAATCAATCCAATCTTACATTGCATGTAAAAGATATTAGATTTTCATCAGGTGATTCAAAAAAAAAAACACACACACACACACACACACACACACACACACACACACACACACACACACACACACACACACCAATGTTAACATACAGTTTGTCATACTATAAAACATGTTTTCAATCAAACACCATCGATCCATGCATTCTCATGATACACTAAACTATAAATTGTTCGGCCACAACAACTTGCTACAGAAAAAAATTCTCTGACTGCTTCAGGGTCGATACGATAGAGCCATAGATGGTTATCTTACCAATTTATGTTTGCTTCATACGTTTCTCAGATTTCAAACAAATCAAACCGCGCAAAAGCCTTTCAATCATCGTCTTCTTTCCTACCACACACCCTGATGAGCCTTCTCGGTTTAATTGCGTCGTCTTTGTTTGATTTCCAAGACATAATCAAATAAAAATTAAATTAAAATTATTTTTTAATGATTATCTGAAATTTTATTTATTGCTTTTCAACTTAAAAACAAAAAGTAAACATCAGTAATCGTACACCTGAACACAGAGT